AACCGCGATATAATGCACTGTCAGCCTGGCTCAGTGATAACACTCTCGCGTCTGGGTCAGAAAGTTGTGGTTTATGTCTTCGAGTCCTCACAAAGCGTTATGCACAATATATTATTTTTATTCGACCGTATACTTTTCGGCGAAACGCGGCAAACAATTACACAGAGCTCTGTCCATACAAACAATCGTTGATTGGAAGACCAAATTGTACATATGTACATGTATATATTTCAAACAAAATAATGCTATCTGTAGAATTAACACATTGGGTCAGCACCAGTGTGCCACAGATCTACTTCATGCTTCACTGAAAAAAATCAAAGAGATGTATCAAATTTCTAAAAAACAGCCATCCCAGGAGCACAAAGTTAACACCCTGACGTTAACATCGTTAATGTAATGACATCAACTTGAGCACAAAGCTGACGCGTCAATGACGGTTTACAAAAGCCTCGCTAAGATGCAAGAGGGCAGTACAGGTGGCGGAGTCATGTGCTGCAGCAATTTCAACACAATGTCCCAGCCAGATACATATCTAAGAAAATCAGAGTAATAATTAGGCCATCAATATTTTGTGGAAATAGTTTCTCAATTCCATTTAAAATCTGTGTGATCCCCCTGAGAGATTTGCTTTGAACACTGAACAGCCCTGATTGTACCACCCAATGTCACATGATTTGCTTTTCTGTGCAATACGCAATTTGGTGAAACACTTGTTGAAGGCATCAATATCTTTTACCCACAGTGTAGTTCACGCTCCAGTGTAACCATGTGGCGGCACAGCAGGAGAATTTCGGAAACTTGAGCACTGTCAGTCTGTTATTTAATGATGGCAATTTGGACCCATGTGCGTCTTGAACAGCAGGAATCTTGAATTGATTTTCGATTTTAAGTTTTTTCAAGGGAATCGTAAGAAAAATACTTTGCTTCATCTGATCACTGTCCAGATGACTTGGTGATAAGCAAACGCTGCATATCTAAACCAAAAAAAATCCAACGCTTCTATATTTCAAATTCATCCCTGCTTATTAGAAATATGTATCAGTTAAACAACCCATCCATCCGACCGTCAAAGGTCAACCCATTTTATTGAGGATACAACAGAAGCAGACAAGTGAAATGTAATGCATTTCGATTTCCAGAATAGCATTGACAAATTGCCACCTGAACAAATTGTGTATGGTGATTAAACCAGTTGTTCAATGTAAATATGTTTTCCAATATTTACAGATATATTACCAAGTGAAACAACAACGTACATTCATACAGGTTTCTATCATCAGTTCTTTCGAGAGTGAGCAAACATAATAACCGCAATATTAATATTAGGGAAAGATTAGAGATGAAAGTTTATTAATACTCAAAATGAAGAAACTCAAAACAGATTTTTGGTAACAAAAATGAATACAGGAACATAGAAGTTAAGAGCAGGAGTAGGCCAATCGGCCCCTCGAAGTTCAATCTGAAGACTGTGACCTCTTTTTATAGATTCTCCTACGAGGAGAAACAGTTCACACAGTCTGTTCTGTCAAGCCCCATAAGAATCTTATATGTTTCCATGAAATCACTCCTAATTCTTCTATATTCTAGAGAATTTACTCAACATATGCTCATAGGTAAGCACACTCATCTCAGAAACTAAATGTGAATCTACGCTGCACCCCCTCTAAGGCGATTATGTCCTTCCTTAAATATGGAGACCCAAACTGCACACAATGTTCTACTTGCGGTCTCACCAATACAGTTGCAGCAAGACTTCCCTACACTAGTTCTAACCCTTTTACAATAAACGCCAACATGCCATTAACCTTCCGATTTGTTTGCTGTACCTAACTTTTTATGACTGGTGTACAAAGACACCCAAATCCCTCTGAACACTGACACTATCTAGTCTCTCCCCCTCTAGAAAATAATCTGCTTTTCAGTTTTTACTACCTATTTGAATATAACAGCAATATGAAATAGCAATTCAGGAATTATTCAGGGGCAAATTGTCATCTAATTGATCTTGTGGTTTAGATTTGGAGCTCTCATTGCTTTGGCGGGTTTCACACATAGCCACGATATGTATAACAAATAATCCTTTTGAAGCGAGGAGGGTGAAAAAAGCCATAATCAAGATGCATTTATACAGCACCCTTCAGGCGATGTGGCATCTTATAATGTTGAAACATTTCAAGGAATACACTTATTATATTTATGGTGGTGAACGCTGAAGCCAATTTGAGTCACAAGCAGACGAGAGAACACATCAAGCAAATGACGAAATTTATTTTGGTTTTTGATAACCTGAAAATTACATGTTCGAATAGTGCTATTGGATATTTGAACTCAACCACCAATAGATACATGGAACCGCGAGTTTTGCATGTAAGCCTTTCCTGAAAATAATAATAATATTAATCTTTGCATTTGATATAGCACCCCGTCATATAGTCAAGACATCTCAAAGCATTTGCCACAATATACTGTGAAAAGCAAATACATGGATTGCACAATTTTTATCTCACCGAACGATGAGATAGTTAGAAATAGAAATGTAGACAGAGACATGGAATTCCATGGAGTAATTTGGAAGAGTGTAACGTAGAAATGCAGCTGAGGTAAAACACCATCCCTGGGTTGATTCGAACCACCATCCTTTCGATTAACAGCGGAATGCATTAACCGATTACTACAGTGTAACTGTGTAACCCATTGAAATTGCTTTTGGCTTTGTGATGCATAGGAAATACACAGGGTGATGTTTCAATCATGCTAATGTAATAAACGTAATATCGGATTTCCATTACTCCTGCACAGTCATTCCACGTTGCAAATAATCAACAACAACATTAACTTTGTAAAGCGCCGTCCACGTTGGGAGGTTATCAAGTGGTTCTGAACACTCAAGGATCAGGACCCACCGTGGGGGATAAGGTTGGGATTATGGAGTGCAGAGGAAATAGAAATGCGACTGAATCTATTGTCAAAAAAGATGGTCTTGAGTTTCACCTTGTAGAAGGCAAGAGAATGGATTGTGGGATGCAGTGCCAATGAGTGGGGGCAGAAAGACTGAAAGTCCGGCCTCTGATGGTAGGGTGGGTCAGGCGGGTGACCTGAAGCAGGCCAAAGCCTACTTCGCTGAGAGAATGGACAGCTTGCTAAAGGATCAGCAGGTCAGAGATGCAGGAGAGGAAAAGGGCATGGAGTGCCTTAAAAGTGAGGAAGAGGATTTAAAATTCTATCCTCTGGGGGATGGAGAGCAAGTGGAGCAAGGCGCTGGTAGTGGTGATGGGATCACGTAGCTTCGTGCAGGTGAGCCTATCAGCTGCAAACTTCTGGATGACCTGCAGCCTGTGGAGGGAAGATTTGGAGAGACCAACAACGAGGCAGTTTCCGAGTCGAGCCTCGAATTGTTGATTGTGTGTATGAGCTATAATCACCTTCAGATATGAGGCACAATACCAAATTGAACGATTATTATTATTATGATAGTTGTTCTTTGATGTACGTTTGAAATAATGTCATCTTGTGAGGGAAAACGACCTCTGTTTTGCCCAAAATGTAAAAGATGGAAATATCAATACCCAATGGTGCTGATCTGTTGGATGGGAAAAATACGTCGGAACATTCTGAAGTTTTACAATGGAATTCTTTACGCATAAATTCCATTTGTCACAAAAGTTGTGATAGATCAATTTCCCACAAATAATAAAGAACATAAGAGCAAAATAAATGCTAGATGTAGCAAAACCTCGGTCCATTAATTCGCCTTCCATCTTCCTGGTTCTCGCATACACATATATCCCAAACTGCCCATGTTCTACATCCCATAACGTTATTCCATAAAATCAAACTATGTGTGTTTAAAAGTATCAACACACGCTGCTTCAACCGTTTCTCACAAGTTCAATGTTCGCTCACTGAAATGGTGCTTGCCTAGATTCATTCTGAATTTGCAGGCCATGACCTCTGGTTTTACTATTCTGGACAAGTTGGAACAGCCTGTCATAATCTATGTTGTCTAGCCCCTTTAGAACATTGAAAGCAGCAATCATGTTGTCTCTTAATCTTCTCTTTTCCAGCGTGAACAGCTTAAATATATTTGCGAATTGTATCTTCAAAGACCAAGAATGACTCGCTCCAAATGTAGAAAAAGTCATCTGACCATGTGACCATTTTTTAGTGGGGAACAAACTGGATTTCATATCGCTATTGTATATGTATAATATATGTGTATACTGACTATAAAAAGTCATTCCATCTTACAAAGATTGTATGTATAATCGATTTGTATGATGTGTGTTGACGAGATAATGCTAATTTGCTTGGCGGAGTTTTCTGCAATCTTCTTCCGAGGCAGCAGGTTTTGAGCTGAAACCTCATTTGGGGATTTTAACATCAATATCTAATGTGTGAAAGAACACACTTTCTTCTGCAAATTAAGATTCGCCCTCTTTCCAACGCTGCAGTTCATCGTCACATTACTCGCCATCCTCCACTAACTGTGCCTACAAACAGATCAACTATGTGTATATTTATATAGCGCCCTTCACAAGGGGAAGCTTCCTGGAGGCACTTGACAGTGTTAGAGTCTGACACTGAAACAGGCAGAGATTTGAATTTTTGTCTCTGCACCTGGACCCCTGGTGGCGGTGCCGCCCACGTCGATTCCCGAACTCACAAAACTTGCTCCGCAAGACCTTAGCTCCCCGAGGCATGCCGAGCCCCGCCGGTGCCTGATAGGGCTTTACTCCCCGAGCCCTACCTCTCCCCTCCGAGACCTCGCTCTCTCTGTGACCCGTGATCTCGCCACTCGATCGCTTAAATCTTCGCTCACCTCTTGCTTAATCAAAACTGGGCCCTTTCACTTACAAGGCGGAGCCGCTAATCACTACGCTACAGGAATCCACCAAGGAATTATTTCTTATCCACAGAAATATCTTAACGTTTACTGACAATATTATTGGTGTTGGAATGAACCTGAGCAGATGTGGAGAAGTGAATCCGTCAATTATTCAGCGGTTTGCTTTATTGAGCATCTTGAGAAACAGAGTGAGAGGGAATGTGACGCCCCTTTTCAGCTCCTCTCTGAACTTCCGTTGACTCACTACATAAATACATGTGTTTGTGCCGCAACTAAGCAGTTGGAGCATAATCCCCACCTGTTGTGCGATAAAGAGCGGATCCTCCAAGCTCGTGTAATAATATTTCACTGTAATACGCCCATAAATGCCGTTTACAAAATAGGTCATCCAGAGCAAAATAAAACTGCCCGACACGGTGAGGAGCAAAATGACAGATTTCTTCCTGCTCTCCAGCTCGGTGTCTTTACTCTGCTCAGCGTTCACCTGGTTTCGCAACCTTTTCTGCACTAAACTGGCCGCTAAAATGTAGCGAACAGTCAGAGCGTTGCAGAGCAGAATTAACAGAAAAGGGAGTGACGGATTCCAAATATAGAAGATAAACGTATATACTTTCCATCCGAGAGAAGAACGAAAGCTGGGATTCAGGACACAACCCCAGGACACGCCGTTAATCTCATACTGTGCCCCAAATACAAAATGTGTCGCCGTGCCTTTCAAACAGTTTACAATCAGAAGTGCCCCAAGAACCCTGGTCGCCGTTTTCTCACTACAATATCTCTTCCTCAGTTTTTGACGGCAGATAGCGACAAAACGGTCAAACGTGAAAGCCACTGTGAACCAAACGGAACATTCTGTGGACACAGTGAGGAGGAAGATATTGGCGCGACACACGGTAGTTAAGTTCAGAAAGGAACCTGGGAAATAGAGATAACCGATCCGATAGAAAATCACATCAAATATCACCACCATCAGGTCTCCCACTGCCATGGCAAGCAGGTAGAGAGTGATGCATCGGGAGAGACCACACTTCCTCCGGGACAGGATCACAATGGCCACCAAGTTCACTGAAGTTGACAGAAAGTAGATAGATTTTAACGTCGTTTAAAATGCTTAAAGTCAAAACTATTATTTACTTAGGAAAGTGCCGGTCAACATGGGGTATAGACATATGGGGAAAGAAATGGGTCACAGGAACAAAAGGGCTATGAGATGTTGTATAATATTCCTTGAATTTTATCATAGTGCATTATTACTTTTTGAGTCGTATACATTCGCCTCACAGAATATATTGTAAAGTGAATTGATGGAAATCTATATCTACATTTCCCCAACGCAGACATCTGTATCAAATAATTGATCAAAGAACCATCATTTGCGACACTAATAATCTATTCAGAATTCTTTGCGACATGTTATTTTTAATGGCTGTATGTTTCCAATAGATCTAAAAAAATACACTTTGCAATGTAAGTGTCATGGACGCATTCATATAATAATAATCCATGCATTTGATATGCTAACTTATTCCTTGAGATGTCTCAAAGCGCTTCACACCGTATGCTGTAAAATGTATTAACTGCATACTTTGTGGGCGAAACATGGCAGCGAATTACTCACAGCAGTGTATCACAATCAGTCGTGGATTGCATGACCAAATTTTTTCGATGAATTATTTCGATGAATTATTACCAGAAAGCGACTCAGCGAATCCCATACGATCTCCACATCAGTTACCTGGCGCAGTGCAGTGTAACTCCAGTCATGAATTCAAAATAATATTTTACAATGTTTTTTACGATGAACAGCTATTACAATTTTCAAAACATTTTAGATAAAAGTGGTCTTGATAAAACGGAATGGGGCATGATATAATGGAAAGGTAGCAGCAAAGTAAAGAAGTTGGGTAAAATACAGGAAACAGCGGGTGGGAGTGCAGGTAAGGACATTGGAGCGGTGTAAATAGAAATGACCGAGATGGCAGTATTAGCAACACTGCTTTAAATCTTCTGGATTATGGTAAAAGTAAAATCGCTAAATTTGTAAATAACACAAAAATAAGGAATGCAATTATCAGTGATGACGTTTGTAAGCACCTTCGGGGACACAGAAAGATCGCTGATCGGGCAGATTAATTGCGAATGAAATTTAATGCGGACAACATCAGGTTACATATTTTGGGAGCAAGAATAAGTAGAGCGGCTGCATGTCTGGCGGCAACATTTAGAAGGAGTGGCAGAGCAGAGGGAGTTGAGGTCAATGTATATAAATCGTGAATGATGGCCAAAACTGTCAAAATATAAAATTAAATCTCAGATTTTATGAATTGGGGGAATTGAATACGAAAGTAAAGAGTTAATCGCTAATTTAAAAATTTGTTCGTTAGTATGTAGTTAGTCATCTCATTTCAGGGTGACCTCATCGAGGTCTTTAAAATATTTGTCTGAGTGAGCAAAAAAAAACGCTCTTCTTGCCATTATCTGGTAATTATTCTACGCAAGAAACAGCCGCTCCCTATTTATCCCTACGCTCCCTACGCTCCCTCATTATGGACACCTCTAACAGGTCCCTTCTCAACCTTTTAGTGCTACAATGAGAACAGGTCATGTGTCAGCATGGCTCAATGGTTGCACTCTCGGTGTTGAGTCAGATGTATCTTGGTTGAAGACTCACGTCCGGACATGGAATAGTCTAAGGTGGCTCTTCAATGCAGCGGTGCTGGGTGGGTTGCATTGCCGGGGATGCAGTCCTTGAGATGCAATTTTAAACCAAGATCCCGTTGGCTTATTCAGGAGGACAGGAAAGATGTCCTCACATTACTCAAAAAAAGAAAGGAGTATATTTTTCTCATATCCTTGCCAACAATCCCCCAGATAGCAAATGGTGACTCAGTCAATGGTTGTTTGTGGAACATTACAGCTTTCAAACTGGCTGCCGTTGTTTTGCCCACAAAACTCACAGTCACTCCACTTTGTAGTATACCATGTAAAGCGCTCCAAAACTTAGTGGCGATGTGATAAATGCAATGATTATTATAAGGCCTAAATTCTCAATTGTTTCCTCATCACTCAAGCGCTTAGTACCATGGAATACCATAATTACCTCAGAGCATGGAGACAGCACGTGTATTAAATGGATTAACGGGTACCAAACTTGTCATTTCACACATCTTACATACAAAGACTCACGAAAAGACGATTAATATACGAAAAGACCATTTAGCTCAAGAGGACGTGATGTAATAGCATACCGGGGACCTCAAGGGCTGCCAGAATCGGATAGTAAATGAAATCAATTGGATGAACCAATTCCTGGCGATGCATGTTGAGAGAGAAAGTTGCAGTGATGCTTTGTGGTGACAGCGTTTCCACGAATGATGGCAATCACTAGAGGAGCCTTTATTTATACAGTGACCGGTTTCCACAAAGAGCGAGCTCCCGCGAACAATGGTGTTAAGTATACTTCGTTGAACATTTCATTACTTTACTGTGGGGAATTGAAGCATAGAATCATTGAAAAGTGTCACACAGGAGACAATTACTCAATTATATGTCTTTCCACTGCTCTGCTCAACCGCGATCACCAAAAGCTTACTCCTGAATGCCTTTGTCAATGTTTTTTTTCAAATGCCCAATTTAATCTTGTCCAACAGCCACCATGATAAATTAGGAGCATTTGGAAAACGTTTTTGGACAAACATTTTTTTGTTCTACCCGAGTCTTCAGAATTCCTCCCTTCGTGAATGATGATTTTTAAAGGCAGTATTTTCCTTCCCTGCTAACTTCTGCCACATAAAATACGCGGTTTAATGAGCAGAACTTTAAAGCCTGATTGTGGCTCCTTTCAGAGTCACACACAAAAACAAGCTATGTTGGTTTCCACGCAAGTTGAGCGCCAGTAATCATAAAATGCAGTCTCACGTTTGAATCCCCCAGGCCTGTGGCGCATCGTGAACGTGAAGGGCTTGAAAGTCATATACCATCTGGTAAACTGAGTTTCATATGCTTTATGATAACCACCTAACGGGTCTGTCACCAAGACAAAGCAGACCTATTTTAGTCAGTAGCAGAGTTTCTCGACTGACCATTTCAGCGCCAAATAATCTTTCTCAATAACTGAGTGCATTGACTACTTAACGTATAATTAGTGATGTTTCACTTCGAATGTTTGGGAGAGCAAGACTCCCAGAATGACTTCCCTGGGTCCGTTCACAAAATAAACTTGTCTTGGAAGTTGGCTCTATGTCTTACCGGGCTCCTGCACAAGCGTTGATTTTAGAGCATCAGTGGCTTTCTGCCCCCACCACTCAGGCCATTTCAACATATTAAGGGCAGGTGTCTTTGTCAGATCCGTTAACAGAGCCACCGGCATACAAAAATGTGATGGAAACCTCCCAAAGTCGCTGGCGAGCCCCAAGAAACATGGCACACATGTCTTTGTATGGCACGGAGCACTGTAAAACAGCATCCACTTTGCCACCTCAAAGGGGTTGGGCATGCCCCAAAGAATATCCCAAGTATGTTTTAGGATTTCCCAAGGGCACACATATTGGAGATTTCAATCACAGATCGCAGCCACTTTGTGCAGATGACAATCCCAGGTTCGGATATATATCATGATGTCATCTAATTAGACTGTGGCGTATACTTTGTGGGGGCATTACACCCGATCCATAGGCTACAGGAATGTGGCGGCTTGAACTCCACGATGTCCAAAAACCATTGTAGGAAAGTGGTATAGCCCAAACAAGTAGGTTGGTCTTTTCTTTCGACTGGTTGGCCAAAACAATTGCCAATAACCTGTGTCAAATAAGCGTCGAAATCAATTTGGTCCAAAACTTCATCCACATTGGGTTATACCACTATGAATGAAATGCAGTGAAATTTCATTGACTTTCCGAAAGTCAATTCAAAATGGGATAGATCCATCCGGTTTGGGCACCATGAGAATTTGGCCGGGCCACTTACTTTTGGAATTCTCAAAGATTGCCATCGCCAACACACGTTGACTTCCGTCCTCACCATATCCTTCCTTGCCTCCAGGATCCAATAATGCGGAATTCACTGTCATGCCTGGTTCGACATCTTCCAAATGTCCACGAGGTCAGCCCCCCTTGGCCTTTCTGAAAACACGCTATTACGATCTACCTGAGCTTTTGTGGACCGAGTTAAATGTTCACTCATTGATATCAATATGGGGGAGTTGAAGACTGGAACTCAGAGCCCTCAATCTTCCTCCTGTTCCAAGGGATGTACCAACAGGTTATCACACGCAATCCAAGACATGAATAATTTTAAGTGATCAATCTGTTTGTTTTCTTTTCTGGAAGGTATCATTCCAATGCGATGTATTTTTTCAAAAGGCCCCTTATTGAGCCAGTATGTTACTCTCTGATGACGTGAGTGAGTCTAGCACCCTATTTCCGGGATGGTGCTCACATAACCAAGTCCCTGATTATAGTGTCTCACTTTGATCTTCTGTGTGATCAGCAGGTATTTTTCGACCTGACCGCGTGGTCAGCTCGGGAGAGAAGTGTTTCAGCATTACTTAACAGCTGAAAACCTGAAGCACTAGCGTTTGTAATGTCGCTTCCCTGGACTGCCGCTGCTTATTACCTGATATAAAAAATCGTTAATCATTTCAAAATGTAAAAATATTGTTGCTTTATCCTAATTCATGAATCGGCTCTGGCAAGTGGTTTTAAGATCTGACTTAATGGAATATTTTCCATCTGTTCTTATAAGAACCAAATGGAAACTGTTCTAGAAAAACTGTCTTCAGAGGTATACCTATTTCAGCAGGTGCAACATTTGTTATCGAGGTCCGAGAGCTCATTATGGGGTGTTTGGTTGTTGGGCGGCTCATAGGGCGGGAGACACTGTCTCGCTTCCGACATCTGACGGGATTGGGTGCATTCAGGTTTGTCCAGCCGTAGATATCCACCTTGACTTCTTCCTAACTGGGGCCGGTCCCTAACGGGACTCGGGGGTCACCTGAGGACCACAGCTCGTTCACCAATGAGATCATTTGATGGCTGTTCACCTGAAACGCTGACCGGGCTTCAGGCTTGCTTTGCACCTCCCGGTGTGGACACACCGCTTCAGCCACAAAAGCATTCTATAGTATTTGTGCTGTTCATGTACATTCCTGACCTAATGTCTGCAGATCCATTACCTGGTCCCTGGGGGCAGCAGAACAGTGATCTGTTTTCACATGATGTAATCTGTAATGTTCCGGTTTTAACTAGCTGGTGCTTTGTTCTATGAGACACTGGCATTGGACGAAGACTCAGGTTCGGACATCGGCTCATTTCTATGCAGAATCTCTGATGATAGTTCTCTATCGTATGCCCCCATGGTCCAGTATGGTGGCTTCATTTGCCAACATTGGAGAGCTTGCTGTCTGCAACTTGTGCCTCTCCCTTCAAGAATACACGACACTGTTATTGAGGCGAGAATGTCTTTCAGACATCAAGTCCTGGATGAGAGCTAACGTTCTTCAGTTATATGTCAGCAAGACCGAGGCTCTCCTGATTGGCTCCCGTCAGCGCATCCTCACCTCAGGCGCTGAAATATCACACTCAAACTTGTTAAGCTACTCCGGAACCTTGAACTATCCTTACTACCCCACATTCGCCCCATGATCCGCTCTGCCTTCACCCACCTCAGCAACGTTGCCCGTCTCCGACTCTGCCTCACACCGCAGGCCGTCGAAATTCTCATACACGCTTTAATAACATCGAGGCTCTACTTCGCAAGCTCAATGATTGTCAACCTCCCCAACTCCATTCAGCACTCTGTAGCCAGTGTACTCTCCCGCGCTATGGTCCGTGACTCTGCCACGGCCATCCTTGCCCAACTTCTCTGGCTTCGCAACATAGTGGATACAGTTCAAGATCCTGGTCCTTCAATGGCCTCCATGGCCTTGCTCCCCCCTACCTCTCCTACCTCCTAATCCCCATACCATCCTGTTCGCTCCCTCCACACAGCAGGCTCCGGCCTGCTTCACGTCCCCCGTCTTGCTCGCCCCACTATCGGCGGGCGGACTCCCTCAACTCTGCACCCACCCTCTGGATCTGCATCCCACAGTCCCTGCGACTCGCCCCCTCGCTTGCCACCTTCAAGACATCCTCCTCTTCGATCGTGCTTTCGATCTGCTTCCCCCCACCCCGCGCAGCCCTCAACCATCCCGGACATTCAGCTCGGGTCCGAAACTCTGTCTGCCCAGCGCCTTGGGCCATCCTCCCGACATGATAGGCGCGATATAAATGTAACCTTGTTGTTGTTATAAAGGAAGCTACAATTTTTTTTGTGTTATATTCGGGGATATATTAAGAACATTTGATACATTCTTTCCAAAGCAACTTCCCACTAATCAAATCGAACATAGAGAGATGTGAGCTGACATTGAAACATCACTTGTAAAACCGGCCAGATAGCTGGACCACGCATGATTGGGCAACAACGGCGCACATGGAGCAGGCGAATGTGCTTTGAGAACGGACGACAGAGAGAGAGAGAGAGAGAAAGAGACGCACTCAGACACAGACATAGTGAGAAACCAGTAATACACACACATTAACCCTTTCACGGCCGCTCCTATCAAATACTCACAGAGAGAAACACACACCCACATATATGTAGTCGCATACGTACACACGCGGGGAACATTACACAGGAAAACAATGACATCTTTTTGGATTTATATAGCCACCTTTTCATGGAAAGACGTCCCGGAGAGGGTTAGAGGGAGGTGGGTGACCGTCAACACGATTTAAATTGAAGGTCTTTCAGGAAGATTTGAAAATGGGGAGCGTTGGAGAAAGGCCAAGGGAGTAATCGAGAGAGTTCCCGAATTTCGGGGCGTATTGGATAAACCAGGGTCAAAGATGGTGGCATGGGAAGGACGAGAGACAAAGACTAAAGCCAGCTGAGCGGAGGCTGCGGATGGTGGATTGGGGGCTAAGCAAACTGGATCACCCATTCACCCTTTCCATCCCACCCAGACCATACAAACTGACTTGTCCCTCCACCACGGCACCTGCCACTAGCGTTTCTGTGCACTTCCATGCCCCATTTCTCCATCTTACCTCTCAACCACAATCACCCAAATGAAGTTCACGACCTGTTAACTCAACACCTCCCCATCCAGCTACTCGTCACTCTATTCCCCTTCTCTACCCCCTCTAGGCCGACACTAGTCTATATCCTCTGGCTCTGTTTCACTCCCACTGAAAACCATGTCATCACACCTCGCCTCAAAAAAACATCCTCGATCACTCTAATATCTCACACTACCATCTACAAACTAACCTTCCTTGCCAAAGTCCTGGAACGCATTGTTGCATGCCAACTTCAGTCACACCTCTCTGTCCACTCCCTCCTCGAGCCTCTGCAGTCTAGTTTCAAAACAGCACAGCACAATGTCAGCGCTCGTCAAAATAACAAACAACATTCCCTCCATCTGGACACCAGTGCTTCCTTGCATCCTGGACCTTCTGCATCTCTTTGTCGAATTCGGCAGAGTCAATTCACGCCATCCTCCTCCACGACTCTTTCTCATCTACTTTAGTGGGACTGCGCTCACATGGATGTCCAACTTAACCTACCGCCTCCATTTCATCTGTGCAAATGGATTCTCCTCTCGCGCCCGCCCGATCACCTGCGGGGTAACCCCAGGGCTCCATCTTCGGCGCACTTCTTTTCCTTATCTCTATGTTACCTCTTGACCTGTCATCTGCAGACACGGGGTGAACTTGCAAATGTTTGTAGATGACACACAAATCTACTCTGCCTCCTCCAGTGCCAAATTCGGATCCGCTGATGTTCTATCAGTTTGCCTGGGAGACATACAGACGTGGATGAGTATAAATTTCCTGCAGCTTAATATGGACAAGAAAGAAGCCACCCTGCTTGGCTTCCGTCACAGTCTTCGCAACTGCGGATCTAAACACCAGACTCACCAAAATACTACGCAACCTAGGCGTTAAATTCGATGTCCTCCTTTCCTTTCTCCCACACAGTCGATGCCTGGCCAGGACCGCTTTCTTCCACGGCCGCCAGGTTGCCCAACTCCGACCGTACCTTGCACTAAATGCTGCCGAAACCACTGAGCAAGCGTTTTTCGCCTCCCGTTTAATTGTTCCAAAGCACTTCTCACTGGTCTCCCCAGCTCCACCATTCACAGGATCCAGCTCATTTAAATCTCTGCTGCCTCACACTGATCTGAAACAAACTGCATACACACATCTTTCCAGTTCTGGTAATGGCTCCAACTGCTCCCCAACAACGAACAGATCGACATCAAGATTCTCACTCTTGAGTTCATTCTATTCACGACCTGGCACCCCCATACCATTCTGACCTCATCAATCCCCTTCTTCTCACCCCTCACACCCTCCACCCCACCATTGGAGTAGGTTCTTTCAGCTAATACAGCCCCAAACTCTAGAAGAGCCTTGCTGAATTTCTCTGCCTTGATCCCTACCTCCCCTCTTTCAAGTCCCGCCTGAAAACTTTCATGTTCGACTGTAGTTATCAACATCAACCCCTATCCACGGCTAAGATTCAGTTTCCGCTACTGTTAAGCGCTCTGAAATGCTTCCCTGCTTGGGCGGCACTAATATAAGTGGCAGTGGTTGTCTTTGTAGTTGTAATTCGACAGCTCAACTTAGACCACTGTATTGGAATGTCAGCGTAAAGTATGTCAGTCCATGTCTTGGTGTGTTGTTTGTAATCACAATCCTCTGATTTGATATCGACTGACATATTGCTAATTTGGATTGGATTAGATGCTCTACAAAATCATTCCAAGAATCAAATCCAAGAATTCCCTGATATTGAACCTTGCATCCTTGTAGCTCAGATTGCGACATTTTGGATCAAGAAACCTTTCCAGAGCATTTGACAATTCTACAGTTACCATTTTAAAAGAATCGCCAAGAACACAATCTCCTCATATTTCTAAAACAGTTTAATGATATCACATTATAGTCTTCAGAAAAACAACTCAGGTACCTGTCTTCAATAACCACAGCCGTATCTGAACTGTTTAGTAGAGAAAAATTAGTC